TCTTTTATTCCCCTGCATATCTTCATTTTGTTTTATTGGCTTCCAGTTTAGAAGAAACATGACTTTGGCTTTATTAAAAAATACATAAAACCACATTTTGTGCTATTCTGTAGTTTGCTGAGCTCTGGAGGGAAAATTGTTCACTCTTCTGCAGCAACTTTCCAGAAAGTCAACATTGGGCCTCCAATCCAGTACTTAAGCACATGATTGGCTTCATATGTGCTCAGCATCAACCTGATTACACACTTGCTTAAAAAGTTAAGCATAAGCTTAAGTTTCTTATGATAAAAATATGAGAAAAATATGTAAATGTAAAAATTAAATTCCCATCATAAGTGACAAAGTCACCCACTCATGTGGACAAGCTGAGACACAAAATAAAAGAAGTACTCACACAAGTAAACATTTGCAGAATTGTTTTCCATAATTACACATGGGCTATCAACAAATTTTTCAAATGTGGTTACCAAAAGGTAGGCACCTAAACAAGGTATCTAATTTTAAGGACCTAAATCTGAAATTATTGGCCTATGTTTTGGTTTTATATAAAATGAAAAATAATTGCACTAACAGGCATTGCTAATCATTTTTATGGTGCCCAGTGCTAAGGAGCTGATCTAACCCCTATCTAAAGCTCATATTCCATGGTACCCAGCCTCTTTAAGTTAGAGTAATTAGGATTTCAATAATTTTCCCACTGCTTCACCTTCAACTTTTATGCTATTGATTTGCTAAGCATCAGCAAGTGCATCTGACTGGCTCCCTCTCCTGGTTGATTTGGGAACTTCCCCCTTTGCTCACACTGGAGAGAGGCTCCAGGTTGATTTAGGACAAGGTCAGGAGTTGTATTTCTGATGTTGTACATATGCATGTGCTTTGCATTCATGTTGCCTGTAAGCGATCAGAGACTGGTGCCTGACTGTTGGTTTGAATGGCAGTGAACTTAAGAATGAGCTTTGTTTTAGTGAGCAGAAATATGTAACCATAACCTAGTCCATATGCACACCACTGATCTCAACTCGTCTTAAAACTGTAACTCCTGCTCATGTGTGCAGTATGTCTGCCAGCTATCTGAAATACTCTAGCATAGCTCTTTGAGTGGGATGAGGAATGTCTTATCTTCATCATGCCAATAGTAGGACTTCTGCTCCACAGGTTGCAATTATGCTTGGTTGATGGCTGACGTACCTGTACAAATATCATTTGAATTGCTATCGATTGTTTTTCCTACATTGATTTGCAACATCCATTCCTTTTAATATATATAATTTCCAGAACTTTTTCACTGTTTTCCTTTCTGTTTACAAGTAAGAACTGACAGCAGGCTTGGGGGCTACACGGAAATCCCATGAGCACTAAATCTGGCTGCACTATTCGTGTTAGCTCTGCTAGAGTCACATGGGTCCTGGAAATGGAACTGGATCACCATACCTGTGATGGCCGTTGTGAGTGTGTACACTGGGAACACGAAGGGCATTTGTCTCCTGCAGGTGCTAATAGCATCACACAAGCTTCATTCACAATCATGGATTTGAACAGTCTTGAGTACAAGAAGCAGCAGCACACGAACTAGCGATGGGGTTGGGTAAGTGGAGAAAGGAGGTAACAGACTCTCTCCTTTCAGCAATCTCCAGAGGGCAGCATTTGCTGCATTTCCATAAAGCGGACAGCAATAGCACACTCACGTATAGTGAAGCTTTAGACATGTTGCCTCCAGGAGTCCGACTGCAGTACTGAACTTTTGCATAACCCTAAATAGAAGGCAGGAGCTAAAATGCACTAATTGAATCCAACGCAACAATGGGCAATAACTGGCCAGTGGGCCAGATGCAATTTCCCAGGGTTAGCCTCTGGTACACCACTGCCACTGTGTTTACCTGTGCCTCAGCAAATACGGGTGCTTGCAGCTACCATTGGCCATTGATCACCATTCCCGGCCAATGGGAGCGATAAGAAGTGGTGTCCATGCTACTTCCCATAGCTTCCATTGGTCAAGAACGGTAATCTGCAGCCAACGGGTGCTGCAAGCACCTGCACCTGTGGAGGCGCAGGTAAAGACAGTGGCGAGGCCCACCAGGGGCTAACTCTGGAGAACCGTCTCCAAGTTATTGCCCACCCCGGTCTCATTGATAAAAGTCAGTGTACAATTTGCTTCCTACAGGTGAGTGAACATTATGCTCAGCTGTTCCTTAATCCAGCGGTGCGCAACCCATGGGAGGGGGTAGCGGCTGTCTTCTTGGGGGGTTGTAATGCTTTGATCCGGGTCTGCTGGTGGCGGGGGTGGGGGAAGTGGCAAGGGAGTAGACTGGTGCTTTAAATTAGAGGAGCAACAACAGAATGTTTCCGGCGAAGTTTTTTGTTTGTTTTTTTGCTCAACAAAAATTGTCCCGGCTCCAGGGGTTGTGAATGAAAAAAGGTTGAGCACCAAGGCCTTAATCGAAAGCCATTAAATATAGGGCCAGTCACAGGAGAAACAAGTCCCTTGTCTCAACCAAGCAGTACCTGAAAGACTGGGAGAGCAACCAGTAACACTGGACTAGCTCCACACCATGCAACACTCACCACATCAGGATCAGCTTGGAGGGTAGCTAGTCACAGGAAATGCTGACCCTCATTTTCAGTCAGGCCTAGTCTACACTAGGACCGTAGTCCAAAATAACCCTCCCCCCCAAGTTCGAATTTTTAAGTGGTGCGCCCACATTACTAAGCCTGTTATTCCAGAATAAGGAGCTGTGCAATTGGAACTCTGTACTCCTGATTTTCACAAGGAATAATGCTAATTCCAAACTTGCAAGTCCAAAATAACATTAGTGTGGATGCTCCAGTGCCACTAATTCCAATTTATTTGCCTCTGGAAGGCCTCCTGCAGCTCCCCATAATACTTCCTAGGGATCTGAGTCCAAAGTAGGCTCTGTTACTGTGGATGCACTAATTTTGATGTTTCCCCGTAATGAGGACACACAAGTTTGAATTTGTTAAATCAGGAATCCATAAGTCAAATTTAATAAATTTGAAGTAATTTCCTAGTGTAGATGTGGCCTCCCTGGCCAGCCACCTGTCACAGGTAAAAGTAATGACATCACCACCATAGCAGACTCAGCATATAACTGACCTGGCTCCACATGAATCATTTGACATTCTCTCACTGAGTTTTTGCATAACCAGTTTTAATTATTTTTTCTTTATGTGGGCCAGCTCACATAATGCATGCATAGCAGGGGACTGATGTCTAAGGACCTGACCTACTCCAGTTTAAATCCCAAGCAACTCCCCTGAAGTCAGTGAAATTATTAAGTAAAAGTTAATCAGGCTTTTTTATTAGCTCAACTCTTACTTCATTGAATTTCCTTCTACTAATAATGTTCACAGGTCAAAATTATGAGAGGTCTTTGTTAATAAAATTGTTATTGTAGGTAGCAAAAATGGTATTTCCCATAAATATTTCAGCCACCTCTTTCAGACACTTCTTTCTTCAGTTTCCCGCTATATTTCTTGGGGTCTCTTCAGCTCATAAACTCTTTCATAATTCAAAGGCAAGGACTGCATCTTAGGGTACATCTACATTGCGGCGCTATTTCGGGATATTTCCGGTATCCCAAAATAGCTATTCCATGTCTTTAAAGCAAGCCTGTTATTTTGAAATATAACAAGCTCACTATCCTAACATCCCTGTAAACCTTGTTCCATGAGGAATAAAGGACATTATAAAATAGTGATTTATTTCAAAATTGGCACTGTGTAGACAGCACCAAGTTACAAAATAAACTATTTCAAAATTAACTTGAAATAAGCTATGCACTTTACGCAGCTCAAATTGTGTAGCTTATTTCGATTTAAGGGTGCAGTGTAAATGCATCCTCTGTGAGTATTTAAACAGCACCTATTATACTACAACCTTTGCCCTTTGTGACATTTGGGCATTATGATATGTGAATACAAAACATAATAAAGAACAAAACTGCACATATACTGGGAGAAATTGGTTAAATTCTGAATATTAACTTATTCTAGGGAAGTAGCATGTTTCATTACAAAAGACTGTGCTTCCTTTTAAGCATTGCCAAAGGTAATAGTTTTCCTGGAATATACATTTTAAAGCGTTTCCGTGGAAAGGTTTTCACTTCGCTTAACTAGAGACAGGGACACAGATACCATGGTGATAAGCACTTCAGCAATTCCAGCAGAATAAATCAAAACCATTTATCAGACATTTGGTGCACAAGTAAAACGGGACTCTGCTTTTAGCTTTACAAGACCTAAACACGACCAACACATTCCTGCAAACCACCCACCCCCACATCCCAGAGTCATTTATTTCAACATGTGAACCTTGTGGGAGTTGGTTGAATGGGACCAAGATGTGAACCTACCCTGGGTTTGGCTTTGCAAAAACAACACTATTTTTAGTGGCAAAGGGAAAAGGCATCATAGAAGTCATAGGTTTCAGAGAGATTTAGCTGACGTCTGGAATTGTTATAGCAGATTGTTTGCTATTTCCCCTATATGTGACTTTAATTCTTCCAGTTTTAAAATAAAAAAAAAATCATACTACCAGTCTTTGAGTGAAAAAAATTAATGGTTGTTATGGATGCCACCATTTTGCATTTCATTCATACATCATGGTAAAGCATGCTAGTGCTTATTTTAAGGGAAATTTCAAATGCCTGCTGTTTCCAAGTGACTCAGGCATGTATGGGTTTAATGATAGAGGCTATCCTCACTATTGCTATGTCTACACTGCACGGCTATTTCAGGATACCGGAGGTATCCCAATATAGGTACCCAATGTCTACACAAACTGCCTGTTATTTCAAAATAATGGGCATACTATTTCACCATCCCAGTAAACCTCGTTGCACGAGGCATAAGGGACGGTTTAAAATAGCATTTTATTTTGACATTTGGCGCTATGTAGGTGCACCAAATTTCAAAATAGATTTGAAATAAGATACACAATTTGCGTAGCGCAAATTTTGAGTTTAGGGTGCTGTGTAGATGCACCCTATAAGTCCAAGAGACATTCCAAAAAACTTGGACTTATATCGAAACAACTTCCAGTGGGGAATTCTTTTCCCGCGGCTGACTTCCATTTCTGCAAATTGGGGTGGGTTTTTTTGTGTGACTTAAGAATGGGGAGACTTATAACGCATCAGTTCTTACAAATGTCAACAACTTTAATGCAGAACAGATGTATACTGGGGCGACTTATGGGTGAATGCCCTGAATTCAAGTGAGAACTGCCTGAGCACGCAGAAGTGGATTCTACAACAGACGCTGGCTGGAGTTCAAGCTACAAGTGCCCCTCATTTGGAGTAAAATAAACCAGTTTTTTCCACCTTCCTCTTTCTCATTGACTTATTAGCAAATGTTATTAACTGTTGTTAACAATCTGCATCACTACACATAGCTCCCTCATATATAAAACATCAGAACAGTCAGAACTATCCATTTATGTCTCCAATTCCCCCATTTAATGCCCATAAACTAGCTACCCAATTAAATATAAAACAATATAAAACACAACTGTTGCATGAAACATTCTGTCCAACTTAATTAACATTCTAAATTGTGTCTGTGAATGTAGCACTTAAAGGGACAATGTCAAACAGTAGAAAGGACACAAAATGTGACTGTCACAAATGGTACAAAGAGTGCAGAAGTTACTATTCTATTTCTCTAAATTCATCAAAATGATTCTTTGGGAGAGATTTAATAATCCAGTTTCCTTCTGCTTATTTATAAGTGGCTGTTGCTTGATGCTATTCTCTGAGCCGACTGCATTGTTGATGCTGGCATTCACATGGAAAAGCACAACACTGGTGGGGAAAAATTTTATTTTTAAACACCACTGAGTTGGAAATAACCATGGAAAAAGTAAAGAAACTGTGACCGTGTCCTGTTAAAAGTCAAATCAGGACTCAAGGAGATTTAGCATAGGAAAAACAAATCCATCCACTGCTTAAAATTGGCCATCATTTCTAAAAGTGCTGTGGTAAAAGGTAAGTCTTAAACAATAATGTTAGCAACTAAGGGTAAGAGTTACAACAAACAGGAATCAGGAGATTGCTGACACAGTTGCCATCAACACACATACTGTGGAAACAGACTAAGTGGTATCACAGTACCCACATCATAAAACAAACTCACATATTTGCAACAGATATCTCTCATATAAAAACATTCAGTAACATTTAGGGGGCATGTCTGTCCCCTCCAGGTGTAAATTATTAAATAAACATTGTGATAGTTGGTCTGACATTTTTTTAAATATCTACAGAACACATTTATTTCTTGCCAAGGTTAAAAAAAAATGTATTCAAGGACTTAATTCAATCCAAGCTGAATTTTTCAGTATTTCCACCTTTTGCTTGCTTGCCGTCATCCTTATTAGCCATTGGGCCAGGCTGTCACAAGACACAAGAGTTTTCAATCCTTTACAGTCTTTTATCAATGCTCTGATCTGTAAGTAGGGAACGTGTCTGTTCGATGAAGCTTCAGGGGGCTTGAAACATCTTCACCAAATCAGATACAAGAAAAACAAGCACAGTTACTATACACAGCACTTTACTGTAGATCTAGCTAAAGCATGAGACATGCATTAGAGTCACTTTAGTTACTTAAGGAAAAGACTGTCACTGCAATCTGCCACACTGCCCTAGGAACTGACCAAGAAAAGAACAGACAGCCACAAGTCCCTTTTGGGCTCCTTCCTCCAGGGAGAAGCAATCTGCTTGCTACTGGTGTCTGCATCTAGGTAGACTGCTTCCCTGGCCATGCTAATTCAGCTCTAATACTTCTACCTGATGTGCTAAGCAGGGTCTCAAACTCATGGCCATCTACAGCCTGAGCCCTCTTCCCCCTCTCATTGCATCCCTTCTTGCCAACTCCACTCTCCTGAGAGATGCAGCCTTGGTAATTATCAGGGGGGCTGGCACAGGACAGCAGCAGGGGTTGTGCCTCCCGCACTCATGAGGCTGCAGGGACTCCCAGACTGTGAAAGCCCTCAGGCTGCAGATGAGCATGAGTTTGAGACCCCAGTATTAGGGCAAAAAGCCGAAGCTCCACTCATTCCTTTCTCGAAAAAGGGATGTAGTTTAGACATACCCAGAATGTGTAGAGCAAGCAGCCATTTTGCCCTAAATTAAATAGAAACATAAACAGAGCCACATAGGCTGTGTCTAGACTACATCCCATTTTTGGTAATTAGGCACGTTGATATTGCAAATGAAGTTGGGATTTGAATTTCCCGTGCTTCATTTGCATAATGGAGGCTGCTTTTTTTCAAAATGGGACTTTTTGGAAAAAAAAACTGGCAGTTTAGACGGGGCATTTTCGACAGAGTACAATGAGGAGTACAGGATCTTTTGAAACAGGGCATTTCTGTCGAAAATGCCCTGTCTAAACTGCCGTTTTTTCCCCAAAAAGCCCCATTTTGAAAAAAAGCAGCGGCCGTCATTATGCAAATGAAGTGCAGGAAATTCAAATCCCGGCTTCATTTGCAATATTGATGTGCCTAATTTACATCACTTTACCAAAAAAAGGATGTCATCTAAACGTAGCCATAGTGCTGTATGTACTAATGCTGGGTGGTGCCTTACTTCAGAGGTCATCCCTGGACGGTCCATGGTTAAAGATGGTGCAGAAATGGAAATTTGAACATTAGCAAATCAGTTTCCAGTCTGAATTGGAACAAAAAGTTGTAATGACAAAACATTTCACAAACCAATGGCATACAAAAAGTTTTGAGTCATCAGTTCAACACAAGATCAGGTCATTTTATTTTAAATGTTGATTCAAAATGGAAAAATCATATATTTTGGAAAATTCACCAAAAAAAGTGAAATTGAGGTTTTTGCTTTCGAAACTTCTTCCCCTCATAGCAATTTTACAAATATCAGCCTTCTCTGCTTCTCACTTAATAATATACTACTCAACATATGGAAAGGTATTGAAACTGGGCCTATGTTTACGACAGTTTATTTTATACTATTTCCTTTCCCCTAAGTAAGTTAGTGCATTCTACGATTTTGGTGAATAAAATTAATTACATATGTTACAGGTACTGTGTGAAAAGCAGTTCTAAATATTGAGTGATACAATAATCCTACAGGTGTTAACTAATGGGAACACTATTTTATGTGTTATTTATTTCTGGAAGTCCCCGGACTTACCAGAGAATTTAGATCCATTAAGCAGTCCCAGCTGTAGATTTTTTTCAAGGATCCTTCTATTTAGTTTATCAAATCTAAGCAATTTTTAAGTAGAAAAAGAACAGTTTCTACCAATACTGTCTCTCTATGTATCTGATATCAAATAAATTGGTGTGAAATTATTTCTTTAATAAGGGGCTTTATCAGGGGCTTTATCATAAAATGCAGTAAGACCAATCTGTTGATTATGGAGGCAGTGTTTCTAATAATCTTTTTCTTGTTGTGTCACAGGCTGGCATCACCAGGTCATCCTCACATCCCTAATTTATGGGAGCAAATTCAAACAGGCATTTAAGCAAAATACTGCTTTTACTCTTCATCCCTTTTTCAAAAAATTTGCTGCTATTATGTTATGTCTGCGCCCCCTAGTGTTCAGATCATCTTCAAAGACAGCAGGGAAAAATCTACTTTGCTTTATTTATAAGCTGGTGATAAATGAGGCAGGAGAACAAGAATGGTCCAGGCTATCTCTAGGCTTGGCAAAATTTGATTTTTTTTTACTAAATACAATAAATAATATCAATGTTATATTACATTTCTGTACTTTTATCAATTTAAATTTTCACACTTGTGGGAAGCTATAGGGGGTCAGACTCTAGATTCTGAGATTCAAAAAACTAAAGCTTTATAACTACTAAAATACAAACTGACATCATATGTCAAACTATGCAAAATAAATATCCTTATATCAAAATCTCAAGTTCTCAAGTGTCACTTTTCTTACTTTGCCTAGCTGTAAATTTCAGTCATCAAAATTATAAATTATAGTCATCAAAGATGGTAATAATTTTTTGTCGGTTTGCATGTGTACAAATTGTCTGTGAATCTGACATTTTACCAACACCAATAAAAAGTTTCAAGTTTAATCTATATCGCAGTGTTGCCATCACTTGTGATTTTTTTTGCAAGCCCTTGTAATATATGGTAAACCCAGTTCCTAGAGTCATTTGAATGTGTGAAAATCTCAGCTTTAATTTAAAAAAAAACCCTGTAGTGCAGACAAAAGATGTGAAAACATGAACCGCAAAGGCTCAAAACTAGGTGGAAAATAAAAAGTACCCCACCTTTAAAAAAAGAAAGCTCATATTTTATGCCAATCTCATGATTTTGTTAGCGCTGACTCGACATTTGAACCCTTGAGCAAAAGTGATATTGGTACTTTGCTATCAGAGCTGCAGTGTGCTGCCTAGCTAGCCCCTCTCACTGACGAAGCCCTCAACTGAGGAAAAAGACACTTCCCACATTCTCCTAGAACATCATATACTAGGGGAGCCCGGCTTAGTAGATTTTGTGTGCTCCAACCCCATGGTGGAGCAGCATGAGTGGTGGAACGCCAGTGTGGACTCCCCAGTGCCGAGTCTGTCCACATGATCCCCTTCTCCATGGGACTCAAATGCAAGCAAGAGCAGAAAGGACTTTACTTCTTCAACTATTTCTCTTTCCGGGCTAAATTGTTGTCTGACTTCCCAAACAAGGTTGCTGGTAGCCTCCCCCGTACATCATCCCTCATGGGTACCGGCCACAATTGTCTCAGAGATCTCTGAACCGCAGGAATGTTCCCTATTGGTGCTCTCTGCAGTGCAGTAATCCCAAGATTACCCTATCCTTCAACACCGTGAAGAGTTCATGCTGCACCCTCTTGAGGGTCAGAGCAGCCAATGTTTTCTTCCTGCAAGTCAATGAGCTCAGGGAAACATTTTACCTCCATGCTGCATGTCACTGGAGCCTCCTCCTCAGACAGTACAACTCCACTCATATAAAGGGTTGAGCTCAGATAACAGCGTCTAGACTATTGCCTCTTCAATATCGACAGGTAGCAAAGCTATTTGAGTCCCTCTTCATTAATTAAATGTAACAAAGAAACTGTCCAAATTTTATTCCAGCGTCCTCCAGAGAGAAAAATCAGGCCAGAGGGGTTGTGACAGCTTTGGGTTCCTGCCATCCAATAATTCACTACTGTTGCCTTGTTTAAAATAATACAAGGGACAAAGTAAAATTAAATTATACATGAATTAAAAATACATGCACAATCTAGGGCCTGATCCTGAGAATAACTGAGCACCCACAATTCCCACTGAAGTCAAAGGTAAACAAAACAGTCCAGACATGTATGGAGCTTAGTGAAACTACATCATGGATGTATCTGAGCCAACAGATGTACAATATATAGGAGATGTTGCGGTATAATCTTCTGGGATCAGCTTGTAAGTGGTAAGAGTGGGATTCTCAAACATGTTTAGCACTGCTCTGATTCAGCTCCTACCGACCTTGGTGGGAATTTTACTAGTAGATTTAGATCAACACTGATCATTTTAAAAATCACATGCTGGACACTAAAGGTAGGACCATCTCTTCCTCCGTGTGTGTACAGTGTCCACAGCACACTTACCACTCGATTTTCCTACCTGATAAATTAGAGCATGGAATTGGCCACTCGGATAAAGACTCTTCCTAGCCACTAGATGTCCTCCAATGATCATGATAAAGGAAATAAAGGGCTGTATAGATCTGATGAACCGACCCCATAGGAAAATCTAATGACTGAAAACTGCCCAGGCTCTCATGAGAAATCTCAGAGTGGTCTGTGTTATCACTGCTATGTCCCATGGCCAGCCTGTCCGAAATACACTAGCCAGAGGAACTGCAGCTGGGCAGCTGAGATTACAAGGAAGCAGTTATCCCACTGCAGAATTCTAGATAAATTATTCCCAACAAAACTACCACACTGTGTGCTTTACTGTACCTCCTTTCCCTGGTTTTTGTTGGAGGGTCTGGACTGAGAGGGATGGACAAGAATGGGCATGGCTGTTAGTGGGGGGATAGCACATCTGAATGGTGTGGATTTAAAAAAAAAAGCCAAGCAAATCATTTTGATCAATTTAACTCACTTGGTCTTTTCAAACCCTTTGGTTGTGAGAATAATTTCAGTTTGCTGTAATCAACTGACCACTCCCATGAATAAGGCATGTTCCAGGACTGGACCATCAGCACGAGCCATTTTTTCAAAGGCTTATAACTTGGCCAAATTTGAGCAGATTTCCCCAGAAACAGCAATGTACATAATCCTGACCCAAAGGCCATCTGCAGACACATTTAAGTCCCTGCTCCAAAGCATGGGGGTGCTAGAGAAAGAAAAGGCCTCTAGAATTTTTTAACAGGGGCAAAATAAAGTATTTTGTGTAGATTTGTTCTTGGACATGGCTGGAGCATTTTAGCTGAAATTTCCTAATCTAATTCAGCCTTAGACACAGGAGCCAGTGTTCCCTGTAAGCTGTGCACTTTGGCAGCCATCCAGGAGAGATTCACATGCTGCCCAGCAGATTAGCAGAGCACCCACAGCCGTCAGCATGTGTTTCCATTGGTGGTGCACATCTACACATGCCATGGTGCACATGCAATTTATTCTGCACATGGATGGGGGAAAAAAGAGAGGAACATTGCATGTGACTTAGTAAATTTCAGCCTGAATGGTTAAAGTGTGGGAAATTATAAGCAACTAATAACAGGATCTTATAATGGGACGTGCAGGGGAACCATAAATAGGTGATACTACCATCTCTGCCTATAACAAGAATTGTTTCTAGCACAACAGGTGCTCAAATGGCTCTTTGGTCCTGTTTGTGACAGTTCGACCCTCCCTGCACCATCTCTCCCTTACCTTGTAGGCCATAGAGCTGGCCCGCACTGTGCTGCCGTGTGATGTGCTGCCAGTAGGCACTCCGAGGCAAGGGCACTATGGTGCTGAGGGAGACAGCTCGTTCGCTCATTTTCATCTGAAGCTGTAAGAAAGCAAAGGGACAGGAGGATGAAAGCACTACCGCAGGGTTTCTAATAACCACCAGAGTGTGTTTATTGCTAAGGCAATAGTTGCACACAAAAACCCTACTGGAGCATTTGGTGAGACTGCCAAACACGTAGGTCCAAGACACAAAGGTTTAATAATTGAAATCTTTAGCTGACCCAGAAGCATGCCTTGGATTACAATTACTATTAAAATTAGCAACAACAGAAATGCTAAAAAAGACAATGCCCAGTTACGCTCTCCTGAGGAGCAGGTGGGTCATGATGGACTTCTCCAGTCTCCATAGGAGCTTCAACTCCCCTTTCAATCTACCACATTTTATGCACGCCCAAATTACATATTTCATTAGTTCTCATACAAACATCCACTAAGTATTATGAATATTTTATGGTTCATGCAACTCGTGTAAACTTCAGATTACATGATTTTTGCTGTTCTTGCTACTTTTGTGTTATTTTTAATTTATTACCACTGACTATATACCAATGTTATATGCTTGACCAGGCCACTTCTATATTTTACTGGCTATCAGAGACTCATTTTTCTCCAATTAGCTTTTGGTGGCATATTTTGTATATTTATTGTCCTCCAAATTAAGCACATCCTATGGAAAAACCTCACAGTTGTCCTATATAGCCGCAGTTTTTAGTTTACTTAGTAACAACATCACTAAGAAAACACTCATATCAAAACTAGGTTGAAGCCAGCCAAATCGCTACAAATATAATTTAGAAATGAGCCATACATCAATTACTAATAGGAGCTTCTAACAGAATAATAGTTTCATCCCTCCATCCCCAGCTCTTGACAAAACTGCTTTAGTTTTATACTTTGCACTCATAGCAGTGACTCAGGAAATTAGGGGCCAGATTCCACACAGCCAGATGGAGGCCATGTCTTCATTAAATGGAAGATCGACATTGCTGCGATCGATCTTCTGGAGTTCAATTTAGTGGGTCTAGATAAGAATTGCTAAATTGAACTCAGAGGGCTCCCCCATCGATGGCCAGTACTCCTGCTTCTGCGGGGAGTAAAGGAAGCTGACGGGAGTGTTTGTTTCTATTGGCCTCCCGTGGTGGGGTTGGTGGGGAAACTTGAAATAAGGTAGGTCAACTCCAGCTACGTAATTAACATAGCTTAGAATTCCGTATCTTGATTTGATCTTTCCCTTTAATGTAGGCTTAGCTTGAGAGAGGGGAGCAAAGTCAGCTTAAAGCTCATGTTTCTTCTTCCTGGTCCTGGGCCAGCACTAGTTCCCCTCAAGGCTGTTCTAAGCCCCAAATGGTTGAAAAAGAAAATCAATGGAACACTGGTAGTTTCTAGCCATTCCCCCTTTGCCAGCAGCAAAACCTCCTTGCCATCAGAAAATTCCACTTCAGTGGGGATCAGTTAGCCTGGCCTACATACTGTAACTGAGAATCTGACCCTATGTCTTTTTCTGTTGGGATATGGTTAGGAAGTCGTTCTTGTTCTTTGTGCATAGTTTTTTTTCTTATTATTCTTGTTCTCTGTCTCCTCGCTCATCCGTAGAGGAACAAACATCCTTCCCTCACATGCTCCACTGAGAATGACAGAAGAAACCAGGAATGGGCAATAAACCAGACGTGGCTCACCAAGGCTATCCCCTAGCAGGCCGCTGGAGCTTTATTCATCTGCACGTCCACAGGTTGAAGCTTAAAGCTCTTTTTTGGTTGCTGATCGTTGTTCCCAGCCAATGAAAGCTACGGGAAATGGTGTCCCGGTCTGCACCACTTCCTGCAGCTCCCATTGGCCAGGAACAGTGATTCATGTCAAATGGAAGCTTCAAGTGGCTGTACCTGTGGAAGCGCAGGTAAATAAAGCACTGGCTAACCCTGGTGAACTATGTCCGGTCCGTAGGTCGGTTATTGCCCACCACTGCAACAGAACAAATCCATCCCTTATGCACCTTCATTGAGCTAAATATCTGGGCTTGTCCATCTCTCCAGAGCTGCACCAACACAGCTACACTGTTACTGTGCTTAATAAAGAGGACATCTATATAACCCCCGAGAAGCCCTCCCTGTCTGCAGTGGGAGTTCAGTTGGTATAACTGCAGGTTTTCCATACTTCTGAGGAACACAATTATACCGATCTATGTTTGTAGTGTAGACCAGACTTCAATACAGCCAGATCATCAGATTTCCACAGTGAAGAGAGCCACAGAAACACCTAGATAGGGAGTTAGTGTGAACTGGGCCTATTCAAACGACACTGGTCTGAAGAGAAAGGCTGACAAGATTGTGATGATTAAATGCTCTACATTACACAGAAGCCTTTTCAGCAGAACAACTGGGGTGGGGGTGTTAATATTGTGTTGGCGGGAGCGTGTATGTGGAATGGCCAACACAGTTTTGAGCAGAGAAAGCTTTCAGGTGACCGAACAGAATTAACAAACAGGCAGAAGTCTGACAAAGACAAACTGTTCTCATTAGTGACAGAGTCAAGGCTGCACACCATCTAAATGTTAGGATGTGAAGAGTAAACTATGTATGTGAACAGGGCTATGGCTACAGCATTTCACACAGAGAGTCAGAACAGCTGGAATGGACTGGTCTGCCAACTAAGCCCACTGCCCCCAAATGTTTAAGAGACAGGTAGCGTCATGAAAGAAGGACCTTGTGGCAGCACTCCCTATAAGCTGAGCGCTCATGCAGCCACTCAGGAGAGATTCAGCAAAGTACCCACGGCTAAGCTGATTGTCTGTACTGGTGGTTCACATTCACACATGCCTCTGTGCAAGTAAAAAACATTATTCCACACATGGATGGAAAAGATTAGAGGGAACATTGCTCTGTGACAATGCAGAGGAAGTGGTGGGATATGGCAGAAGGGACCATGCTAAATGTATCCTACCCATGGATACAGCTGGGTGAATCTTCCACAACCAATTCATGTTGCTTTAGGGATTCATTATGAACTTGGCCTTGGTTCACTAAGGTAAACCCAGCACAAGTAGTGGGTGGATATTGCCCAAGTTACTGATGAACTCTTTCATCCCTAGCTTGGTAAATGGCAGGTTTGGGCTGTATTGTATTGAATTTGGGGGATTCATTCAAGTCTGAGACTCAAAATGAAATAAGGTTTGTCTACCATCTTCCAAAAAAAGACACTGCTGAACTTTACACACCTCTATTCCGGAAGGTCTTCCCTGGCTTCTTGGTCTTTAGGGCTAGTACCAACAAGGAACTAATACATTCATTTGATAGCTGAGGATTTTCAAGTTGTGCTGCAGGATGACATGGTTCATGCCTTACTGCACATTCATTTCAACCGACAAACATGCAGGACTTTGGAAACCAGGCATTGTGTAGTATTAGTATGGCACAGCCTACAGCATTTTTATAGTTTGCTCCACTGGAAACAGGAAAGTTAACCAATTACTGTAATTTCAAATCATATCAATCAACCAACTAAAGCCCTTTGCAGTACCACATTCTTTTCATGATAAGGGCAGTTTCTAAAAGGAGACATGTCAAATTATAAATGCCAATTTTTTTGGCTCTCCTTAAATGTTGTGCACTGACAGACTGCACCTGCAAGACTTGGGTATGCTGCCATTTTACAAATGCAAACAACTAATGAATGCACAAATCAACAAGCCACCTCTTACCTCCATTCTACAGAAAAGAAAAATGGAGGCAGAGAGAAAGTGACAGCTCAGATCAAAGAATAACCATGTATAGCAGAAAGAGGAAAGAACCACGTCCTGTTCCTTAACCAGTAGGCCATTTCTCCCCTCCCCCCCCATTTACTCCACACTTGAAGCAAAATATTGAAAGATTAGATAATGCTATGTGTATTTGTCTCTGTATTTTGTTATGTATGAGACCAAGAATGGAAATAGAGAGATACTGAGTAGCGGGTAATTCTTGGGAGATTTTCAAGCCAGCCTAACCTGACATCTTGTTCTCATGATATTTCCTGCCTGATTTTCAGGCCAAGAAGTTTTGGATGTTCAAAGCATGTTCTAAACTTTTAGATGCTTCCATCAACCTCATTCAAACTTCCTCAGCTGTCCAAGCTACTAGTGTGAACAGGATCAAACAGTCGCTGGTATCTTTAAATGAGCAGGTGAATACCAAAAAAAAAAAAAAAAAAAAAATCACAAAAGCTAACATGTAAAATTCAAAAACACGAAATAAAACTTGCAGAGAAAAGTGATCATCTTCCTACTTCATAGTCAACAATACAACACAAAGATTCTCTTCCTCATGCAGACCTAAATTCTGTCAAACCTTTTCATCTGCAAAAAAATCTTAGCACATAGATACACCTTGCAGCTACCTCTGAAGGTATAGGTAGACCCAGTGTATTTCAGATGAAGGTAGAAAGCTGTTACCAAAGCTTAGGGACCCTCAAGGAGGATGTCCTACCTCCTGACCACTTTTTCAGCTTGAATGTCTCCTCTGATCACTACTGTGTTAGTGCAGTATCAGGAAAGATGTGGAATCTCAAATAGAGAAGTCCCAGGCCACTTAGGATTCTGGGGAGACCACCTGTCTCCTGCTGATATATTTCTGCAATTCAGATCAGTAAATACATTTGAGCTAAAACTATCCCATGAAAAACCCAGCCTCAGGCCCCTTCCCTTACCTGGGACACCCTCAATTATATCCCATAAGTCTTTATTTTAAAGTAGGCAGCACTGTCAATGATACCATGCGAAGATACAACCATGCAGGAGCGCTGCACTACAGCTGTTAAAAATATTCTGAATTTTGACTTTGAGGAAATTTTTCATCAATTCCATTTTAATAAATGTATTTTCTCCTGCTTGGGGAGGGGAGACAGGATTGCTGGGGTCCTGGGCAACATGGGAAGGGCAGGACTTTCAGTAGACGGGGACAAACTGCTCCCAGACTGTGCCATGCCCCTCCTCCCTACTGAGCCACCCATGCCTCGCAGCATGACGTGTGGCACTCCTGCAGCAACTTAAAGGACCTGGGGTGACACAGT